TTTCTCATATAATGTAACATATATTTATTTTGCTTATACTACAATCACTTTTAGTATGATTTTACCCATTTCAACTGATTGTATGTAATTTTTTTTATTGATATATTTTAATTAATAATTATAAATTTTAATATAGTTATCAAATATAAGTGAAGATAAACTTATAAAATGAGGAATGAAGTATCCTAGTTATTCTTTAATCTTAATTTTAGTGCAATTTAAGTTATGAATAATTTGTGAAAAACTAATCGCATTTTAAAAAGTAGTGTGGAATCGGTTGTGAGAGAGGATGCTAGCGGAAATAAGGTCTTAAGGCAAGTTCTAATGTATTTTTTCATAGTCGATTAATAAAATTAAGGGATTTATCCTCGGTCATTCACCAAAAAAAAAATATATATATCGTTGTCAAATCAAATTATCGTCCATTCATTTGCTAACTAACCATGATTAGAGTTATGAGCTTATGTGTAAGCATCGCAAAGTGCACCTGTGTCGAAGTGCTATTCAGAGTCATAGTCAAACACTTTCGTTTTCATAAAAAAAAAAAATTTTAGATCGAAGCCAACTGGATGCAATTTAACGGATAATTTATGTGACACATTTGGCCAATGCTCTTCAGGTCCTTCTCCATCTGACTTTTCTTCATTGCTTCTAGATAATTCATTCAATTTCCTGGGTCCGTATCTAAAAATTATCATTATTATTGATCTTGACACTGACGTTGACTTATAAGACTCCTTTTTAATGACTTATATGCAAGTTTGAGGACCACTCGTTCCAGAATTTCGGATTTATCCAAAAGGAAGAAGAAAATATTAGAATTTCAAAGAGAGACGGATAGATCTGTAAATGCTAAAACAGTTTTTATTTGTTGGCTTTTACTATAATCAAAATGAAACAGAGGAGTTTCTTATCAATCCTCTGTTTTGTCCTCATAAGCTTCGGTGTTGCTTCAGTTTCAGCACAAAATTGCATGAGCCGTGGGACTTTCGGAACAAACAGTACTTACGACTCAAATCTCCGACTAATACTGTCTTCTCTTCCTTCCAACGTCTCATCTCAAGACGGCTTCTTCTACAACGGTTCGGTCGGACAAGAACCGAACCGTGTCTACGCAATAGGGATGTGCATCCCTGGATCAACTCCAGATGACTGTTCTGATTGTGTCAAGACAGCTTCGGATGGTTTGATACGGAGTTGTCCAAACGAAGTAGATGCGTATTCATGGCCTGGTGAGCCCACGCTTTGCCTTGTACGCTACTCCAAGGCTTCTTTCTTAGGATCTGTTGAGCTAGACCCGCGTACTATGGTCTACGACACTGGAGATATCAACTCAAATGTAACAGATTTCAGGGCAATATGGGAAGACTTAGTTGGTCGTATGATTGTTGCAACATCCACAGCAAAAAGCACATCATCTTCTAGTAATAACCATTACAAAGCTGATGCTGTAGCCTTGACAACTTCCGAGAATATATACGCGTTGATGCAATGCACGCCTGATCTTTCTTCTCGTGAATGTGAAAACTGTCTTCAACACCAGTCATGCTGTGGTCAGAAGCAAGACGGCGTTATTATGCGGCCAAACTGCTTTTTCCGTTGGGACATAAAAAAATTCTCTAAGGCTTTTGATAATATTACAGTGGCTTCTCGTCCACTGCAACCTCCTTCTGACAATGGTAAGTCCTTTCAAAGCTATGAGTATTGTGACAAGAACCAGTCAAAAGGTTGTATTGTACTTTAACAGGTAGTAGAAAAACCTCAACAAGAGGTATTGTGGAAATTGGTGTTCCCATTGTAGTAG